TTATAGAGTTTTTCTGTGATGGCATTAATCAACCTCTTCAGTCTAAGTTAAGACGCAAGGGTCCGCATTCATCACTCAGCCAAATTTTGGATTTTGCTTTGTTGACTGTTGGCTCTCTATTCACTGTGGGTGTCGCGGAGGAACGCAACCCCGCACTCACTCATGTAAAGGCGGACGCACTAGAGCAAGCTCACAAAATGGCAGCGACAGCGGAGCCTGATCTCAAAATGGCGGACACAACAGCTCCCCGTTATGCCACAGCTGCCAATCCTTAATCAAGTCAAGTCAGTAGATCTTTATGAGTCAAGTCAAGTCACAGATGATCGTCATGAGTCAAGTCAAGTCACAGCTGATCTTCATGAGTCAAGTCAAGTCACAGATGATCGGCATGAGTCAAGTCAAGTCACAGCTGATCTTCATGAGTCAAGTCAAGTCACAGATGATCGGCATGAGTCAAGTCAAGTCACAGCTGATCTTCATGAGTCAAGTCAAGTCACAGATGATCGGCATGAGTCAAGTCAAGTCACAGCTGATCTTCATGAGTCAAGTCAAGTCACAGATGATCGGCATGAGTCAAGTCAAGTCACAGCTGATCTTCATGAGTCAAGTCAAGTCACAGATGATCGGCATGAGTCAAGTCAAGTCACAGCTGATCTTCATGAGTCAAGTCAAGTCACAGATGATCGGCATGAGTCAAGTCAAGTCACAGCTGATCTTCATGAGTCAAGTCAAGTCACAGATGATCGGCATGAGTCAAGTCAAGTCACAGCTGATCTTCATGAGTCAAGTCAAGTCACAGATGATCGGCATGAGTCAAGTCAAGTCACAGCTGATCTTCATGAGTCAAGTCAAGTCACAGATGATCGGCATGAGTCAAGTCAAGTCACAGCTGATCTTCATGAGTCAAGTCAAGTCACAGATGATCGGCATGAGTCAAGTCAAGTCACAGCTGATCTTCATGAGTCAAGTCAAGTCACAGATGATCGGCATGAGTCAAGTCAAGTCACAGCTGATCTTCATGAGTCAAGTCAAGTCACAGATGATCGGCATGAGTCAAGTCAAGTCACAGCTGATCTTCATGAGTCAAGTCAAGTCACAGATGATCGGCATGAGTCAAGTCAAGTCACAGCTGATCTTCATGAGTCAAGTCAAGTCACAGATGATCGGCATGAGTCAAGTCAAGTCACAGCTGATCTTCATGAGTCAAGTCAAGTCACAGATGATCGGCATGAGTCAAGTCAAGTCACAGCTGATCTTCATGAGTCAAGTCAAGTCACAGATGATCGGCATGAGTCAAGTCAAGTCACAGCTGATCTTCATGAGTCAAGTCAAGTCACAGATGATCGGCATGAGTCAAGTCAAGTCACAGCTGATCTTCATGAGTCAAGTCAAGTCACAGATGATCGGCATGAGTCAAGTCAAGTCACAGCTGATCTTCATGAGTCAAGTCAAGTCACAGATGATCGGCATGAGTCAAGTCAAGTCACAGCTGATCTTCATGAGTCAAGTCAAGTCACAGATGATCGGCATGAGTCAAGTCAAGTCACAGCTGATCTTCATGAGTCAAGTCAAGTCACAGATGATCGGCATGAGTCAAGTCAAGTCACAGCTGATCTTCATGAGTCAAGTCAAGTCACAGATGATCGGCATGAGTCAAGTCAAGTCACAGCTGATCTTCATGAGTCAAGTCAAGTCACAGATGATCGGCATGAGTCAAGTCAAGTCACAGCTGATCTTCATGAGTCAAGTCAAGTCACAGATGATCGGCATGAGTCAAGTCAAGTCACAGCTGATCTTCATGAGTCAAGTCAAGTCACAGATGATCGGCATGAGTCAAGTCAAGTCACAGCTGATCTTCATGAGTCAAGTCAAGTCACAGATGATCGGCATGAGTCAAGTCAAGTCACAGCTGATCTTCCTGAGTCAAGTCAAGTTACAGATTCCATTCATGAGTCAAGTCACAGCTGATCTGCCAGAGCCTTGTCACGTCTCAGCTGATCTTCTAGAGTCTCGTCACATCTCAGCTATTCGTCCAGAGTCTCGTCACATCACAGCTGTTCATCCAGAGTCACGTCACATCACAACTGATCATCCAGAATCACGTCACATCACAGCTGATCATTCAGAGTCACATCACATCATCCAGTCACATCACAGCTGATCATCCAGTCATGTCACATCACAGCTGATTTTTCAGAGTCCCGTCACATCACAGCTGATCTTCCAGAGTCCCGTCACATCACAGCTGATCATCCAGAGTCTTGTTGCTTCCTATCTGTTGCACCTAGATCTTCGAGATCAGTTTTTCAGTCTCCCAGACTGGCATCCAGCATAGAGGATTCACCGCTGGTGGCAGCATGTGCAGCTGGTATCCCTAAACCAGCGCTCTCAAACCTCCCTGTTCCTGAACTGATTCCCCTATCTGCAGAACTTCCCATATGGGGGGTTGCTCTATGGTGTATCTGGCGGCATCGGCTACAACATCTCCAGAGGTGTCGGCTTATGCTGTGGAACCTTCTGAGGTAGCGGTGTCTGCTGCTGTGCTCCCAGAGGCCATGGTGTCCACTGCAGTCTCTTCAGAGGTGGCAGCGCAGGCTGCAGAACCTCCCGAGACGGCGGCACTTGCCTCAGTTCCTTGCGCAGTAGTGGCGCCCAGTGATAATCTCCGTGAACTGTCTGTTCCGGCCGAGGAGGCCATTAATGAACTCTCTGCCTGACCTGTAATGGATATGGAGGCCGTCTGTGAACTCACTTCCTGTCCTGTAACGGTTATGGAGGCCGTCAGTGAACTCTCTGCCTGTCCTGTAACGGATATGGAGGCCATCTGTGAACTCACTTCCTGTCCTGTAATGGCTATGGAGGACGTCAATGAAGTCTCTGCCTGTCCTGTAACCGCTATGGAGGCCATCTGTGAACTCACTTTCTGTCCTGTAACAGCTATGGAGGCCATCAGTGAACTCTCTACCTATCCTGAAACGGCTATGGAGGCCGTCTGTGAACTCACTTCCTGTCCTGCAACAGCTATGGAGGCCGTTCGTGAATCCCCTGCCTGTCCTGTCATGGCTAGGGAGGCCGCTTATGAACTTTTCTCCTGTCCCGATTCAGCCGAGGAGGCTATCTATGAACCCTCAGTCTTGTCTGTTACAACCAAGGACGCTGTTTGCGAACTTCATGACTGTCCTGTTGCAAATGAACTTGCTATATGCCCGGGTAACCCCATCATGGCCATTGGGGTAGTGAATTAATCTTTTGTTTGCTCCGTTAGCCTTACCACGACCCCAGAGACTTTAAATGCAGATCCTGTATGCCCTAGTGGCCTTGTCACAGCCAAAAAGGTCACCTGTGAACTCTTAACCCTGCCTGTCC